TATGGTCTGTAGCATTATTGGTTNTTGAGCCATCAACTGCAATATCAGGTCATCTTTTTTTTTTTTTTTTTTTTACAGTCAATATTATTTTTTATACTCAACTTACACTGTACATAAAAATTTACCGTTGAATCGTAACTTATACATTAATTTGTTCCACAAATTGTGTGGGGTTCTTAAAAAAACTAAAAATTTTTTATCAGTTAATTCATTGAAGAGTTCATCATTTAATATCGTTCTTACAAATTATGTATGTTTCTCATGTATTTCCGTTATTCTTATGTAAAATTCCGTAAAACTGAGAATAATTTCCTTTAGCAGCAAAAGAAGCCATAAGTAAAGAAAAATGTAATCGATTATAAAGTAAATTAATTTTGCTTATTTTGTGTTTAGATATTGTTTTGTTTTATTTTTCATTCGATTAAAATTTATCAAAGCTACTTTTATTCCTTGAAAGATTTTACGTAGGGTCACAGAGAGAATTTACAAAAAAAAATTGAATACGAAAAAAATTACGTATTATTGTTTATAAAAATCTCACTAAATGGTTGAAAATAAAAATTTTCTTGTTGATAAGTTTTTACGCGTTTAAAATTTGTAAACATTTCCTTTACTGAACCTAAGTGAATTCTTTAAAGAAATAAAACAAGCTTTGACAAATTTTGACGGATTGAAATAAAATAATTGAGATAATAATAATAATAACCTGTAGGTTCATGCATTTTCCTCGATTCATTTGTACACCACAAGCTATTTATATTTGTTCCATACTCATTGACGTTCACAGCAGGTGCTTTACAATAAAAAACTGACTTAGTATTCTGTGGTTGCTGGGAATGTGTATAACTAACGCCAGGGTAATCGTTTGATTGCCCATGGTAATGGTTGTGAGCAGAGATTGTATGATCATCTATCAAAAATATTATAAAATTAGCAAATACTGTATTAGCTGCAGTTCATTTTATAGCATCTTTATTTTTGGGTTGAATTTTGATTTACTTTGAGTATGCAAATTATGCGTTCCAAGGTGAGTACAAGCGAGTTGATGTGGATCTTGTGTGACTGGTTCGTAGTGAAACGCATCTGTACCTACAATAGTAATAGCTTTTATTTCGTATCATATTATTTATTGATTATCAGTTTTCCAGCATCTGAGTGTTCAACAATATTACTTCTTAAATTATTTCTGCGGTAACGTTAGCAATTTTTATTTCAACTTAGCTCAGGACAAAGTAATCAGTATTGGTTCAAGACCTATCAAAAGCCCGTGGAACAAGTTCCAATAAAAGCTCTAGTAGAGTCCGAAAATTAAGTCAAGGTAAAAGTTAAGGGCTGCTTAGCGAGGAGCAACCCACGCGATTTAAGCGATTTAAATTACTGTTCGGTTCCGGTACTTTAAGTTACAATTAAATCTCTAAATCACTATGAAAAAAACTGTTGGGCTTCTAATCGCTGATTTTNTTATTAAACAATACAAAAATACATAGTTATTTCTTTTGTATTTTTTTGATTCGCTCCTTTTTCTGGTAGTAAATTCGGATCATTGAAGCATCTTCATTTACAAAATCACTACTACTATAATCTATAAACGGCTTATGAAAATCTAGTATCACAAAATACCAAGTCTCAGAGCTTTGTTGAGATAAAACATACGTTTGATTGACTAAATCCGTACTGGGATAGCCAATTTTTTCCTGTTGTCGAAGCACACTGAGAATTTGGTATTGCAAAATATTTATGTCTTTTTCTTTTTTTCAGCAGCTCCCAAAAGTTTCTCAGCAATTTTTCGAGCTTTTGATGCGTTCATATCTACGCGATAAAAAATGCTGCTAGGATTTGGGTTAATATTTTTCAAACTCCTTATCAGACTAGGTAGATCTTTCAGAGGTAGTTTTATATCTATAGCCATTTTGACCAAATCTTCTTCAGCTTTGGCTATTTTTTGTTCTTCTTTACCATCACATTTGGCAGGGACACTAAAGTGCTCTTCTGTAGGGGGATCTTGAAGCCCTGCCTTGTGGTAGTGATCATAGCTTTTTGCATGTTCCACTAAAGTATCGAACTTACACTCTAGAGATTCATTGCAAATCTTACAATTTACATGGTAAAGATCCTCGTAGTTGACTGAAATCCATGGCTTGAAGCCCTCAACATCAAGCCAAACGTGTTGGAACTTGGGCAAAGTTTTTGCTTCTTTTTTTCGGGGTTCTGGATGAACGATCATACTATCAGTGTCACTAGCAACCTGTTAATCAAAAAATAAAAACTTTAAAACTCTGCTGTTCGACTGTGCTGTATTTCTAATTAAGAGGTGTTATTATTAGAAAATAATATATAACATAAGCCGGGAAACTCCGGCATGTTTGTTATCAAGAGGTGCAAAAAATGTTGTTTTACTAACAAAGTCCTCTACGGATATGGGATCGAGTGAAAACCTGGCAATACAAAGTATACCAGCTATCAAGTATATTTTAAATTTTCATGAAAACCTGTTTTTGCATACAGGGAAGGCAGTGTATCTCCAAAAAATAATTCGATTGCATAATTAAATAACATTACGGAAATGAAAAATATCAATACGACACAACGAATTATGACAAGCTTTGTTTTTTTACGTAATAATAAAATTAGAAAATGATATGAGGAAATGCACAAATTGCAACATGTTGAATAATTACTCATTTTTGTATACCTGTTCTCATCATACACCTTGCCATTACATGGCAATCGCATGAAATTCTTGCTAAAATACGGCAGAGTAGATTGTTAACATACTTACATCCTCATCAGCCTCATCTTTGTTTTTAAGACACTCTTCGTCTCCAACCATTTCGCAGCAATAGTAGTACGAATCTACGAATTCTGTAACGGTTTGCTCTGCTCGACAGTCTGCAATTGCAACTGTCGATTTACAAAACCCACGAGAATCTGGTGTTTGTTTACAAAACAAGCTGCAAAAGCAAGGGGCGGGCGAGCAGCCTCCACAAAGTCAAAGACAAATCTCAAACAACCTGGCCAATCAGAGAGCTCTATCACAGTTTATTCAGTTATTGCGTCAGGCCCCTGTCACATGGAGAGCGTAACCGTTACTAACACGTACCGCGTAACCATGGTGTAAAAAATACATAAGGTGGGCTCTTCAGCCCCCGAACTGATCAGCCAATCAGGAGGCTTGGAACAAGCGACCTTCCATATTGGATTTTCCACCAATGAGCGTAGAAAGCGCGTTATTTAACTACTTACACTTTATTGCTAAAAATAAATACAACTCACCTCGAGAAACAGTATTAAATTAAAAGCTTTGTACGTACGATAATATAAATTAGATTGCCAGAGATTAACAAAAAAACTGACTTCTGATGTTAAAATTCTCATAAAAAGAAAAAAAAAAAAGTTAAATTTGTTTGTTGAAGTATTTAATAAACTTTATGCATTGTATATTTTACAAATAATCAGATCATCATATAGAATTATATTTATACATAAAACAGTGCACCTAACGAATTTTAAACATATTATTCATCGAGGAAATTTTTTACCCTGTACTCTTGTTTATGTGTAGCAGTAATTGAACAACGCGCTCTCTACGCTTATTGGTGGAAAATCCAATATGGAAGGTCGCTTGTTTCAAGCCTCCTGATTGGCTGATCAGTTCGGGGGCTGAAGAGCCCACCTTAAGTATTTTTTACACCATGCCGCGTAGCCATGATGTAAGTAGATAAGGGAGCTGTTCACATAGACATTTTTTGCTTATTTCATTGTGAACGTTCATATTGAAAAGGGGGTTCCACTGTTCCACTAAACTCAAATTGAGTGAACAGACTGAATAGGCCTATACTGTGTTCTCTGTCAGTCAACATAGTTGCGACCATAGGCTTTGTTGCCTGATGGAAAAAGAGGCATAGGTCTGTTCAGTCTGTTCACTCACTTTGAGTTTAGCGGAACAGTGGAACCCCCTTTTCAATACGAACGTTCACAATGAAATAAGCAAAAAATGTCTAGGATCCTTATATATGTAGCGAAGTGTAGTCAACTACTTGAGAGAGAAAAAGGTGTTTCGTCGCGAGAGCACGCCAGGACTCATCAGTAAGGCTGATGACGTGCTCCCTGCCTTAGACACAGAAGAGGTGTGGGCTCAGATCGACTCGTTCGCGCTTATATAGTGATCGTGCGGGAATTTCGCCGCTTGACGGGAGTTGACTATGAGGGGCTTGGCCACCTGGCGAGTAGAGCCTGAAGCGCGAGAGATGTGAGACGTTACATCACTTTCCACCCAGTCACGATGATGGTGTAACAGGAGGAAGTGACGATATGATGAATGACGAGGGTGTAAAGGCCTGAGAGGGAGAAAGATGTTGAGAAGAAGTCTTCGTTGGACCTCCGCGTCTTCCACGCTCTGTTGCGAGAGTCCTGAGAGAGGCGAGCAGATGATGCTCTAGTCACGATGCGACGCGCGTTGCCGTGTGTGAGCAACTGTTGTTGTGCGATGAGCGAAGTGTGTGTGGGGGATTAGCTGCGATTTGCGTGTACCCGGCGTGGAGGATGCGGAGATGCGTGAGAGTATCAGAAGATTGCGTTTTGTTTGTTTTCGGGGTCACCAATGTAGCGAAGTGTAGTCAACTACTTGAGAGAGAAAAAGGTGTTTCGTCCCGAGAGCACGCCAGTACTCATCAGTAAGGCTGATGACGTGCTCCCTGCCTTAGACACAGAAGAGGTGTAGGCTCAGATCGACTCGATCGCGCTTATATAGTGATCGTGCGGGAATTTCGCCGCTTGACGGGAGTTGACTATGAGGGGCTTGGCCACCTGGCGAGTATAGAGCCTGAAGCGCGAGAGATGTGAGACGCCACATATATCTCTATAGTTCCTGCGCACATCCGTAATTCCACCATGTTGGAATACTTGGAATTGTGTAGTCTGCTTTGTTTACTTTAAGATATACATGCACTTATGACACTTAAGAACTTGAATGGTGTACTTAATAAATTAATATTTACAATATGCCATCGTGTTCGGTGGCATCGTGTTCAAATTGGAATGGAAACACGAAAAATACTGGAATAAAGTTTTTTACATTTCCCAAGCAGCCTGATATCTGTAAAAAGTGGATCGAAGCTTGTAAAAATGATAAGCTTAACCTTACAAATGGTGGGTATAAATAGGCTATATAAGTACTTTTACGCTAATGAATTAACAATTAAATATTTTTCTATCGCAGGTAGGGTATGCTCTGTACATTTCACTCAAGATAGTTACGAGAAAAAGCCAGAACACTTAATCGTCCCTGGTGATACAAATATATTTGTTTTATCCAAATCAGCTGTTCCAACAATCAAATTAGACTCCATGTATGTACAAGATACACTGTATTTTTTTACAGGGTTTTTATTTATCCAAGAAATAATTTAATTTCATGTAGTAATCTCAGATGTGCAACTAAAAGAAAAGTACAATATGAAGCCTCACTGAACACAGCAGCCTTTAAAATAGCTAAAGTTGACTTGAACAAGAGTACAGAATCAGGTTTACAAACGCAACTGACTACCTGCGAGGACAACGAAATTTTACCGGAGCCTTTGATATCACAAGTAATATCTTGGTAAGAAACGTAGCTATTCAACTTTATACAGCCTTAACCTAATTACTTATGTTTAAATACTCCTTCACATTGCTATCAATGATTAATTTAATCTGTATGTGTAGTCAAGAAAAAGTTGGCTCAGAAAATAGTGATACCTTTGATAATACGTAAGTTAGTTAATATTTTGATTTAATTGTTACACTCTAGTATCTATAATTATTTCAGTTACCATGACAATTATTTTCAGACAAAAGAGTGGTAATAAAGTTTACGTACACGAAAATAGAAATTTTGAGTTAGTAATAAAGAATCTGAAGGATGACAATAAATATTTAAAAGACGTAAATAATGCTTTAAGAAGAAAAAATGTTGAATTGGTACTGAAGCTGAAAAGAGAGCGTGAAAAACTACGGCTTAAATGACAAGAATTACAATCTGATAGTATAAAATTACGGAAAATACGTGAAGAATTTCAATTACACGAAATTGACGTCGAAAAAAAGATCCATGATATTTTAAAACCTATACTTACAGACGGCCAGATCAAAAAGCTTTTGAGTTCGAATAAGAGATAAAATGGAGCAACGAAGATCTAGCTGCTGCTTAGAAGCATTTCGCCAAAAGCCTACCGATACTTTCGAAATAACGGCACACCTTTTCCTGATTTATCTACTCTACGAAAAAGAGCCGCTGCAGTTGATTTAAGTCCTGGAGTTATTCATGAAGTTTTATCAATCATGAAAGAAATTGGAAAAACCGTGTCCTCCTTTGAAAAAATATGTGTTCTATCTTTTGACGAAATTTATATTTCACAGGATATTGAACTGTATCAAATAAAAGAGAAAAGAGTGGGTCCCCATAAAACTGTTCAGTTTGGTATGGCTCGTGGACTGTGAAAAAAATGGAAGCAACCTGTATATTATAGTTATAGTACACCATTAACGGCTGAAATAGTAAAGGAAACGGCTAATAAATTGTACGAAGCTGGGTTCATAGTATAGTAGCTTTAACGACAGATCTTGGTTCTTCCAATGGTTCAGTTTACAAGGCTCTTAACATTGGCTTGTTGCAAAATAATAGTTGTTGGTTTCCGCATCCAAGTAATGAAAATCTTAAAATATTCGTATTTGCAGACCCTCCTCATTTACTGAAACTCATTCGCAATCATTTTATTGATTCTGTCATTAATTACGATGGACATATGTATTTGATAAAAGTATACTAGAACAGTTATTATTTTTGAATAAAAAGGAATTAAAGATAACTTTCAAATTGGACCAAAAGCATTTAGATATTGCCGGTAATGAGCGTCAGAAAGTCTCATCAGCGGCTCAAGTTTTTCCCAATACTGTTGCTAAAGCAATTAGATGGTTTGGAATGAATGATTTTCTGAAGACACCAAGCTGGAATGAGTGCGCAGACTTTTTTAAAACAGTAAATGACTGGTTCGATATTTTCAATAGTAGATCTCAGCATGGCAAGACAAACGAATCTTATGCATATGGCTTACACATATAGAAAGACAAAATCAAGTGCTTATTAAAATGACCGATTACATGACGACTGTTAGATATGGGAAACACAAAAGCCTTCTTCCATTTCAAAAGGGTGTTATTCTGAATAATGATGCACTCCAAAAATTACTTCCGTATCTACAAGAACAATACAACCACGATGACATAAAGATTCAATACATATTGACGAATAGGTTAAACCAAGATGTGGTTGAAAATACTTTTTCTTTCATAAGAGGGATGGGTGCTATGCACGACAATTCGCGGTTCTTATTTCTTCGTATCTCTCTGAGACGGCGTGGTAAAAGGCAGATCGCTTTTCTTTCTCTGAGAGAGGTACCGTGTCTCCGTAATTTTCGTATTCCGTCACGACTGTATCGAAACGGTCTATGAACTCTGAAGCAGATTCATTGGTCTTAATTTTGAGGTTATACAACCGCGCTCTGACTGACGAGGCTGTGACGTTTGTCTCTGCTATTCGAAACTCTTTGATTTTAGATATAATTTCTTTTGGCTCTGAAATGTTTATCACTTTCTTGTGATAGTGCTCATCTAAATGGCTAATTATAAGTTCTCTGACAAGCATTTTCCTTTTATTTGACTCTGAAAAACCGTAAGTTTCTTCTAAATCACGACTATTTTCTAAAACATCTATATAGTCAATCGTTCTCAATTCACTTGTCAGAGAGTCAAGCCAGAGGGTAAACGAACCTTTTTGCGTTAATTTATATTTTCTTTCGAACGAGGGCTTTACTCTGCTTCTATTTCCCGAATCTACTGAACGCGCGAGGTTCGTCACCGTGTTATTCAATCGATTTAAAATGTCGTCTGAATTATTTGAATTCTGAGGTTTTTGAAAAGTAAAGTCGGATATTATTTTTAGACCTGATTGACGTCCCTTATCCATATTTACCGCGTTAAGTGAAGGGATATTAGAAAAATTGAAATTTTTACTAAGGCCCCCAATACCATCTCTGCGTCTGAATGTCGAATGCAAGAAGGAATCACTTACATCTGAACTCTGAAGATTTCCCTTATTCTGAGGCGGGCCTTCTTGCTTCTTGCGCATCTCCTCCGACATAGTTTTGTTTGCCTCACAAACATCTTCTATGGCGTTCACCATTTTTTCGCAGACATCCACCAGAGCCTGAACATGTCTAGTGGACCTCTCGAAGTTCACTGATGCTAGCGCCAAGTTCCGCGCTATTTCTTTAATGGCATCAAGTTGTTGCCTTTCCTCTTTCTCTTCTCTCTCCAGGTCTAAATCTGCGTCCCTAACGGGTTCCGGATTCTCTGAATTCTCTGAAAAACAACAAAAAAATACAGCCATCTAGACATCTTATTTTTGGTTTTATTTTCTTGGAGGTTATAAGCCTTGCGGTCATATAACTCCTTTTTGGCCACTCTGAGATTTGCTGTATTTATTCTACAATGAACATCGAACATCTATAAGTTACCTCTTTCTGAGGTCGCAAGCGACCGCTCAGGAGACCCGTCGTCTGTTCGAGTCTCCCCCGGATCACCACTCGACTCATCGACTGGCCTCTCTGGAGTGCGACTCCTGCTTTCATTGTCCATCTCACCTGCATGACTAAAAAAGTATTTAGAAAATACCCATGCAAGATTTAATTATTGTTGAAGGCACCCAATATTCATGACGGCACGGCCTGTCAAGAACGGGTAGCCCTCTAGCTGTCGAGCCCTAGCGGCCGCAGGCCTACTCCCCGCGTCCCGCCCAGCCGCTGTCACCGCACAGCTAGTGACAGCTACGCGAACGAGAGTGCACCCGCGGTGCAGACCCACAGACCAAGCGGTATCACGACAACTTCTCCTTAGGAGATATATATACGACGTCTGCACTGCATGACTGTCGACTGCATTAAGAATGCAGATTTTAGCGCTATTTATTTGTGTGTGTGTAAAAGTACTGCACGGCTAGCACTTTCACACGCTCGCGCAACGGAGAGAGAAAAATAAGCGAGGAAACAATTTAGTTATGCCCATCTGAGTAATTTTATATACATACATACATATAGATATAAATATATACTATACGTCTCAACGAGAAAAAACTCTGAAAAACAAAACTCTTCTAACAGCAATAGTATTTTCATGTCGCGTCAGGCTCTACTCGCGCCGCGTGTTTACTCTTTCGAGCGTCCTCCCGGAATTCGCGAATGCCGTAGCGGCAGTCCGTCCCGATCTCTCCTCTCCTCGCCCCCTCCCCCCCGCATACACTGCCGCTCCTCATTCGCTTTATATAAAAAAACGACTCTGAATGTAGCTGTCTCTTTTTTTTCTCACTCTGAAATGTTTCCATAGAGAGTTAAATATCCTGATCTTGGAATACCAACTCGAGAGATGCCTTTTTCTGACATTCCATCTTGGGTGGTTCATGTTTCTCGAGGCTCCTTACTTTATCCAAGTGAAGAATTGAAATCAGCTGCTAATCTGCTTGAAAAAATTTTTCATCAATTTCATGGAGATGCTTTATCTGATACAGAGTATATTTTTCAAAAAGTAGCTGCTTTACTACAATTAATAATCAATTCAGAGTATTTTTTACCAGATGAAGTTTTGTTATGTTTTGTGAGAACACGAACTTATAGAAGATTAAGGCATCTGAATAAAAAAAGAAAAGAATCCGATAAAAAAATAAGAACAGTTGCAAGATCTACAAAAAACTTTAAAGTATATTTCTTGATTTGTTAATTTATTCACAAACAAATTTAAAAGTTGTGTTATTTCTTACGTCACACAGTTATATTTGTACACATTCATAAAAGATATATATACTATTCTTGAGTTGTAGTTAAAAAAAGTTTATTTTAAAACGATATTTTTTTTATTATTCATCAACTATGTACATGAACCAAATAAAATTATTGTTTTTTTAAAACATTGAAAGCTCTGTGATTTTTTAACTATTGTTGTACATAGGTAGTGAGCCCTTTATAATATTATCTATTAGCAGAGTTCATTTGCCATCAATTTTTGTTTATTTTTGTTAATGCATCGTGGGTTGTTTATATTTTTACAACCGGATGAGAACAATCACAATTCATTTATCAAATCAACCAAAATTCATTCATTAATTCAAAAAAAATTATAATATACTTATTGATGATTTTTTTTACCATAACTACATGCAAGATTTACTTCAGATCATTTCTTTATTAAATCCGGTAATAATTGTATTTTTTTATTGTTTCATCAATATTTGAAGTAACTGTTAAATGATGTTTTCTCGTTTTCAGCAACAATTTTTAAGCATCACTTTTAACATTGTAATGTAAGCTAAAACCTTTTTGAAACCATTGACAATCATATTTTTGAAATACCGCTCCATTCGGATTGGCTCAAATTCCAATATAGACGATGTGCGGATGAGGCACGCTATTGGAGAAACTCGGACTCATCGGAAAGTTGCGCCATCACAGGTCACACACCTTATCTATACTTAGTGCCACATGATGGCTCTGTCGGTAGCGTGTCTGCCTACAGATCTTGATGGCCGGGGTTCAAATCCCACTCTGGACAAAAATTTCATCATTGAATGAGGTTTTTTTCTGGATGGGAGTTGTACTTCAATAAACCTACCGATCCATCTACCGTTTCCTCCTACTGTTATTAAACCCAACGTATGGCTAAATACACTTTATGGTGTCAAAATAGCCATGTCTGAGCCCTTAAGGGGCGATGATGAATATAAAAAAAAAAAAAAATCTATACTTAGTACTTACATGCTTACATCTTACATCATGTCTCTCACACTCACATTAGCTCAAATGGTTATGCCCTGAATAGAAATACACATTCCGGCAGGTAGCAGGGCCAGCTCCGGTGCCTTAAGCTTGTTCTCCGGTCCTCTTCCGGCAGTCTTTCCGGGCAGTATACAAACTGTTACCAGGTACGTTTCCGGGCAAGTTCAGGCTTCCTTAGGTTCCGGTTGCCAGGAATGGACCGTGGAGTGCCCGTAAGGTACCAAGTATAAATTAAAGAAATAATAAATTTAACAAACGTCGGTGACATGAAAATAGCGTAGCTAATAAAAATAAAACCATGCAAAAACAATATAAGGTAAATAAAAAATGTTTATTTCCTAACATATACAAGTTAAAAATTATCATCATGTTATATGTGACGTGGGTAAAGTAGGATCATACTTTTTTAACTCCTTCAATAAAAAATTGATGTGTCCATTAGTTGGCTTGCACACCCTTGCATAAATGCGTTGTCAATCAGGACCTTTGCAATAAATGATTGTTCGGATTTATTTCCATCGCTATCTTCATTATCATATTTACTGTTATTCACGTCAATACTTTTTTCATTTTCAATAACCAAATTCTGAATGTGTATTGCATCTCTCACATTGATGGTTTTCGAAATTTTTTTGTTATTGTCGAGTTCTTCGGCTTTCCGTTTTCTTATACATCGCATTTGAACTTTCTTACAGTACAAACGAGATTCGAACTTTTTATCGATAGTACACGTTTATTTATTACTTTAAAAGTACTTAAGTATTTATATACAACGATAATTTGGAGTAATCGGAGCAGAAGCTATAACCTTCAAGTTGAAGATGGACCTTCAGGGCTAAGCATGGTCAGTATATAGTAACCGTACCTTCAAGTCGCCTGAACCCGCCCGGGCACGCACCTGGTAACGCCACCTACGGGGGCCCTAGAAAATAGTGTCCGGTTGCAAGAGATGGCCCTGAAGGAGCCTTAAGGTAAACGGAACATATTTATTTCGGGGCGGTTATAGTCAAAAATCTAAACCAGCCGCAACTCTCATCCGTATTCAAAAACCTCATCATGCGTGAACATCCGAAACATTTTTGTCATATGATTTATTCTGAGGAAGAGTTATGGTGGTAACTCAATTAGTGCTATATGATTGATTTTATAAGCCAGCCGCAACTTAGTCCGACGGATTAAAAGAAAAGTTGTTGCTGACCATTGCTGTTTTGAGGCAAGCTTGAAATTTATCTTTTACCCGAAAGTCGACATTAACGAAAATGACCCTCCCACCCCCATAAAAAATCAAAACTAGCCGTAACTTTGCTAATTGGTTTTTTTACGAAAATTTTTATTCAACAGTCCAACACCAAAGTTGCAGCAATTTAGGGATTTAATGAAGGGGAAATGATATTTTTGCGCCGCTCATCTAATACTCATCTAAGATTATAGATAATGCATTTCTGTTAGGGTGAGATTACATGGAGTCTGGCAGTCTGCAGACTGGCAGACTCGATCGTCCCCATTACAGCCGACTAGAGTGAGAGAGAGGTCCGATCAAGTGATCGAGAGAGTGTAGTGCACATGGTCACGTGATCGAACCTCTCTCTCACTCTAGTCGGCTGTAATGGGAGCGAGTCTGCCAGTCTGCAGCTGATAGACTCCATGTAATCTCACCCTTAGGTGAAGTAAGGTCATTTCCACCTCTTTATTGAATCCGAAAATTACCGTAACTTTGTAGAAGGATATAAATTACCATAAAAAAAACCAACTCAATAATCTTCAACGCACGAGTTACGCAGTATCAAATTATTATATACTTAAATAATAGCGATTAAATTGATATTACTATAAAAGGAATTGTATGTTCAATGAAAAAAACAAAGCCAAGGCCAGAGGTCGAAGCAATTGAGTAAAATTATAATTTTTTTTCATTGATCATATAATTCCCTTTATAGTAATATCAATTTAATTGTTCTTATGTGAGTATGCAATAATTAGTCTCATTTAAATGATTTTGCTCAATTGCTCCGACCTCTTGGCCTTGGATTAGTTTCCACACACTCAGTCATTTCCGCAGGTGGCCACGAGGGTGGCAGCACAGGCGGTCACACATACCGGTTTTATTGGAATAAGCTGTCTCCATTTCTTCTGCGTCTATGCCATGGTGTAAGAATAGACAGGTGGGCCGAAGGCCCGCCTCTATCGAGTCCAATTTGTGTCGCAGTACATCTAAAATCCGCTAGGTGGTTTCGAGTAGTAGAGGCAGTTTTTATAATGGTCAGTATGACTATATAAAAAAAAAAAAAAAAAGAAAAAAGAAAAAAAAAATTTTCATACTATCAATGGCCTGCACGACACGGATCCCTCTGGTGGCTAGTATCGGTACTGCGACAAAATTTGAACTTTTTTTACAATGCGTTGAGGTAGGCCTTCGGCCCACCTGTCTATTCTTACACCATGGTCTATGCTTAGTTTCGTATATTTTGTTGTCCGCTAGTGTGTCTGCTTGCAAGTTAATTGCCTTGTCAATATTGTTTCGGTTAGGATTTCTTTAAATAAACAATTTTTTCGATATATAGTGAATTTGCGATGTTTGTTAAAAGTTGATCCACAAAAAAAGAATTATGGTTCGCAGTAGCGACAAGTGAGTACATTATTTGGGTACAATTATTTTTAGGTTAATTAGCAAGTGTTTGGAACATGCTCATATTTTACTTTTTACATATTTGTTTCTGTTTACAAGTTTTTCGTTTTATTCATAAATTCTGTAATACTTCGTCAAGTGAAAAAAGTTTTTACTTGCTTTTTTCAGCACATATTTTAATACATTTAAATTTTACTTTCATTCATTTTCAACAACACTATGTGTACCAGTATGTCATCGAATACTTGTGTCATATGCTATCTATCATGTATTTCATTTATAAAAATTGATAAAGTCTCTCGGTTTATTCAATCAAAATGACAAATTTGTTATGCCCCAAGGGAAAGACACCACAGGAGGAGATCTCGCTCAAGGTCCAGATCTCGCTCAGCATCACTAGAAAAAAAGAGGAGACGATCAAGGAGTAGAGACCGTGAAAGAGAAAGGGAAAGAGAAAAACCATCGAGACATCGTGAGCGACGAAGTCGTTCTAGGGAAAAAGAAAGGGAGAGAAGTGATCGCAGAGAAAAGTCAGATCGAGACAAGTCCAGGGAAAGGGACAGAGATCGTGATAGGGAAAGAGACAGAAAAGGGTAAGAGATTGAGGGATCATGATTCTTAATGAATGTTATTCAGTATGGTCAGAGAATATAGAATGTATCAGAGATATATTCTATATTCCATATTCTCTATATCAGAGATATATTCTATATTCTCTGGTATGGTCTCATTCAGTTATTCGCTGTAGTCTCAATATATTTTAACTTTTGTGATATGCATGCATTTTGAATTCCATTCCATCAACTTCAATGTTACGTATGAATATAGATTGAGTTCAATAGATTTTTTTTTCCTTTATTCATGTGTATAGTGACAAGGTAATTTTGTAAAGCTGGTAGTAGGCAAAGCTATGTTATACATGTGGTTCTCATTTATTAAAACCTTTACTTTTTGCTGAGATATCAGTTTTCCAAGTAAGTCATCAGAATATAACAGAATTGTTGCAGTTTTTGAAACTGACAATGGTTTCTCAAGAATATTCTTTATGAAAAAGTTCAAAATAGTGTTAAAATTGTGTTATAAATAATGATATAAATTGCCATTGATTGTTCTCGGTAAACTAGTGGAGACAGTAAAGAAAAGCGTCTTACAGGCTCGAAATTATCTCGATCTGGCAAAGAACGATCCAACAGATCCAGGTCTCGTGAACGGACGAAAGATAAGGAAAAAGCTGACAATGATGAGTTACCATTTGACCACACAAAGCTGGATAAGGTGACATTATGATTTTTTTTGTGTCTTTCCAAATGAAAAGTTTATCTAGAATTGTTTTCGTTTTGTTGTAATTAATAGGAAGAAGAGCAGAAACGTTTGGAGTTGGAGATGCAAAAGAGGCGAGAAAGAATAGAAAGATGGAGAGCAGAACGGAAAAAAAAGGAACTGGAAGCCAACAGAAAGGATGGAAAGGCTTCGATGTTGGCTAATTTACAGCTACCTGCAGCTAAGAAGTGGTCTCTCGAAGATGACAGCGACGAAGAAACTCCACTTGCAAATAAAGAAATAAAGGATGAGGAAATAAAAGAGGTCAATCAAGAGGTAAAGGAGGAAGTCAAAAAACAAGAAGAGGAAGAGATTGACCCTTTGGATGCATTTATGGCAGAAGTGCAAGAGGAAGTCAGGAAAGTCAACAAAATTGATAACAAGGCTGTTAAGCCAGGTAAGCATACTAAATTGTGCTCGCTTAGATATAAAAAATAAATCACCAAAAAATGAGATGCGGTTAAAGTTTTGTTTTGTCATTCCAGTTGGACAAAACTCAGATGTCCAAACGTCTGGAGGTGTTGTCATTGTAACAGGTGTAGCAAAGAAGAAAGTACAAAAACAAAAAGGTGAGCTCATTGAACAGAACCAGGATGGACTGGAGTATTCAAGCGAGGAGGAAGGGGAAAATCTTCACGAAACAGCTGCTGGCATTGCCAATAAACAGAAACGAGAACTGGCAAAAGTTGATCACAACTTGACCGAGTACATGACGTTTAGAAAAGCATTTTATCGCGAAGTCCCAGAGATCGGTAATCGATGCTGCACCTCATCATCCTATGTCTGAAATTTTATAAAGTCAAACAGAGCCATTCAAATTGACGCAAATCTCTTTTCAGCTCGTATGATGCCGGAAGAAGTGGAAATGTACAAAGAAGAGCTAGAAGGCATACGCGTCAAGGGGAAAAACTGCCCCAAGCCCATCAAAACTTGGGCGCAGTGTGGCGTGTCCAAAAAAGAGATAGATGTCCTTCGTAAGCTCAACTACGAAAAACCAACGCCCATTCAGTGCCAGGCGATTCCAGCTATAATGTCGGGCCGTGACCTGATTGGTATCGCGAAAACGGGCAGTGGTAAGACCCTCGCCTTTCTACTGCCTATGTTTCGTCACATCCTCGACCAGCCGCCAATGAATGACGGGGACGGTCCCATTGCCCTCATAATGACGCCTACGCGCGAGCTCTGCATGCAAATCGGCAAGGATTCAAAGAAATTCACGAAGTGCCTTGGACTTTCGTACGTTTGCGTGTACGGTGGTACTGGAATTTCTGAGCAGATAGCCGAGTTGAAGCGCGGTGCCGAGATCATTGTCTGTACGCCCGGTAGGATGATTGACATGCTCGCAGCTAATAACGGCAGAGTGACCAATCTTAAGAGGGTAACTTACGTCGTGTTGGACGAGGCTGACAGGATGTTTGATATGGGTTTCGAGCCCCAGGTAATGATACTTTTGTTTTAATTTTAATTCAATTTTTAATGACAACTTTACCAATATTGATCACGACATTGTAGGTGATGCGAATAATGGAGAACGTCCGGCCCGATCGACAAACTGTACTTTTCAGTGCAACGTTTCCCCGCCAAATGGAGGCCTTGGCGCGCCGCATCCTGACGAAACCGATCGAAGTCCAAGTGGGCGGCCGCTCGGTCGTCTGCCCAGATGTCGAGCAGCACGTTGTCGTTTTGGAAGACGACCAAAAGTTCTTGAAACTACTCGAGATACTCGGTCACTACCATGACAAGGGATCCATTATCATTTTCGTGGACAAACAGGAGAACGCCGATACGTTGCTAAAAGATCTGATGAAAGCCTCGTATCCATGCTTATCCCTGCACGGTGGTATCGACCAGTGCGATCGTGACTCCACAATAATGGATTTCAAAAAGGGCAAAGTCAAGCTGCTCGTAGCGACTTCCGTTGCGGCCAGGGGTCTGGACGTCAAGAGTCTCGTGCTAGTCATCAATTATGACTGTCCCAATCACTACGAGGATTATGTACATAGATGCGGAAGGACCGGTCGCGCCGGAAACAAAGGGTATATTAAACTACTCATCAAATCAAAAAATATGTATTATTGTCGCAACTACGTATTGGCAAGCAATGGAAAATTAATTTTTTAGCTTCGCCTACACTTTCATAACGACCGAGCAAGAGCGCTACGCAGGTGACATAGTGCGCGCACACGAGCTAGCTGGAGTGCCCGTACCCGACGCTCTCAAGTTGATGTGGGAGAACTACAAGAACCGTCAAGAAGCCGACGGCAAGAAGGTGCACTCGGGTGGTGGGTTTAGCGGCAAGGGGTACAAATTCGACGAGTCCGAGGCTGCACTGGCCAACGAGAAGAAGAAGTTCCAAAAGGCAGCCCTCGGCTTGCAGGATTCGGACGACGAAGACATTGAAAATGACATCGACCAGCAGATCGAGACGATGTTGCAAGCCAAAAAGATTGTCCACGAGCTGCCGAAATCGGCAGTTTCGGGTACGGGTGTGACAAGCACCGGTGGCTCGGTACCAAGTGCCACGGAGAAGCTTGAGTTGGCCAGGCGACTTGCCTTGAGGATCAATAGCGTCAAAAATCTGGGCATCGAAGCCAAGGGAGCTACTCAGCAGGTCACCGAAGCCATACTCAAGGGTGCTGGACCAACGAACCTAATCACGGTAAGTTGTGGGATATATTTTATTCATCATCATTTTACGGTCTCGAAAATCCATAATTAATTGGAATTTAATGATGCGAGTCCTACTGCTGCATTGGATGACTCAATTGTCTCATGCTCGATTTCTCCTTTTAGTCCAAGACGGTAGCTGAACAAATAGCGGCCAAGTTGAACACGAAGCTAAACTACCAGCCTCGAGAAGAGGACCTCATCGAAGGCGAAGGTGAAGGGGGTGAGCAGACCTTCCGCAAGTACGAGGAGGAGCTCGAGATTAACGACTTCCCGCAGCAGGCGCGTTGGCGTGTGACAAGTAAAGAAGCCCTCGCTCAGATAAGCGAGTACTCCGAGGCTGGTCTGACAGTGCGTGGCACTTACATAGCGACGGGTAAGGCACCACCGGACGGCGAGCGCAAGCTGTACCTGGCTATCGAGTCGACGAGCGAACTCGCCGTCAGCAAAGCCAAAGCCGAGGTCTCGAGGCTCATCAAAGAGGAACTGATTAAGCTACAGGCGTCGGGGACACACACGGTCACCCGTGGACGCTACAAAGTCTTGTAATGACCTTTTCTTTGTGGCTCTTTTTTGTTACTCGCTTCATCTTATTTGTGTATTTCGTACTTCTTTTACATTACTTTGTCTGACCAGATCCAAATATGACAGTGTAAAATAATAAAGTTATATCTTACAAAAGTTTTATTGAGTACAGCAGCATAATATGGTTTACGTGTCATTGAGCGTAGTTAATAAACTTGTGTATTCTTGCGTTTTAATCTGTATTTCATCCCATTCAGTTTCAATGAATTACCTTAAACTTAGTGTTAACCTAATATTTTGTACCTATTTTTATCAGGGGTTAAGACGTTCACATTTATCGAAAGACTACACAACGTGCAGGTAAGGAAAAAAACAAAAACAAAAAAATAATATAGGTAGAAGACGCTTGAAATCTTAGAATATCAACATTTAAACATTTTTTTTAGGTGATATAAAGTGAATGTATTACACATCTGGTAAACGATCGAGATTCAAGAGGAAATCGCTGCATAATGATGTAGCGCGGCTGCAGAAAACGGAAACATAATTAAAAACTGCTAAGGCATTTAGTTTAGAACTAACCAATTGATATGATGAAATGAAAACTTTTTTTACTTGACTGGATGAGTACAGGACTTTATTTTTTAATAAAGTTGAAAGATGATTATTTTAGCAAATACTTTGACTTTTGTACGATTTTCACTACTGAATTTCTTTTCTTTACACAATCTTAAAATCAATGAGGATAAAAAAAGTTTATGGCTTGTTGGCTATCATCCTGATTTTAATAATTTGTCAATTGATGTTAGAAAGATGTGAATTCATTTAAGAGTCATTTATATTTTTTAATACGATTGTCAAACTGTGAAAAAGTTTGAAAACAAATAAGAAAACCAACTTTAAAAGATAAATACATTTTTTAAGTCTAAAATAACTTGATAATAAAACTAAACAGTGGTGTGAATTATGGTAACACCGGGCGCGTTGAGCTATAAACCTCGAGAGCTCTACTTTTCTAATTGGAACGGTGTACAGCGTCATACAAAACGTTTGCTTCTTTTTTCGTTGAAATGCAATCGTCTACTGAAAGAATTTACCGACTACGAACACAAAAGTTACTGAGCTTGTAATTCCTTGTATTTTCAAAAAAATCTCAAGGTAGTTATACTTACTACTTGGTACCCTATTTTTGTACTTTCATTTACATTAGTATGATATACAGACACCCTACATATTTTAAACAAACTTATTAAACATATAAACTGGGCAAATATTTATATGTGTACAAATGGACACGAGTAATGAAGAACACTTTTATTTATCGTTATAACTAGTTTGGGATGAAAATTTTTTTACTGAGGAAACTTTTTACTCGAAGAAAAACTTAACTGTATCCCAAGTTCTTGTAGGGCATAACATAATAATGTTGATGAATTTAATAATTGAAGTATACATACCGAAGTTGAATAACGAAGGCTTAAGCTAACGTTAAACTTTGGAGGTCGAATAATTAGAAATTGAAAAAACATTTTTTGTCACAAAGTTGATAACTTTTATTTTAATCAATTTTTACTCCCTACAAATTCCACACAAAAATAAATGAAAAATGTTGAAGCCTAAAAACTTAGTGGTCATGAATCTTCAGCTAATATCTAAACTTCCAAATGCAGACTTATTCATATACAACTACACAAGAAAGTCTAGTGTGGCTTGCATTATATGAAGGATAGGGACGTGGTTTATTAAAAAAAAAAGATTGTACAAAAGTTAATATTTAACATCAATAAAAAAAACTTGTATTCTTTATTTTTTCTACTACAAAAGTCAAACCATTGGATATACATACTTAATTATGAATTTTTTGGTTGATTTACTTTAACGCTAAACCTACCAAAAATGTTTATTCTATACTTTTTTAATTTAAGATGTACGTAAAAAGAAAATAAAAACAAACTAAGGCAATTTCTGGTAAGTTTAGTGCTAACCAGAAGTGGTAACTTAGTTTTAAGTATAATAATATGTATACGTACTTGAAAATTATTTACAATTCTTTGTAATAAAATTAAAACATTATTTCTTTGGCAGTATTTAATGACAGACAAGAACTATATTAAATTTTTTATCTAAAAAAAAAAACAGTTTTAGATTTTTTACATACTATACAAAATTACAGAGGCACTAGAAGAATCACAGATATCAATGTAGGCTAGCTATAACAGTTTTTCATTATACTTGTAATACAATATTTTAACAATCATTTTTTTTCTTTTTTTTTTAATAAAATTGTGTTCTTTTTGGTATTTTTTGCACATTGAAACTTTTTGTCAAAATTTGATGATTCCTAGTCACTTCAAAGTATTGCGTGGTTTTTGTTTTTAATGATTTCATTAAAGTGCTTTTTACAACACAGCAGTTCGTTCTAAACACAGACATTGCTGAGTCAAAATTCAATACCCGTACAATGACTATTTCGTCAGTGGAAAACATCTTGACGTTGAAATACGAATCATCCGAGTATCTTCCGTTATGTGAAACGTTATACTACAGTAGGAAAAAAAAACTCCTCAGCTTCCATAAGAACAAATTTTTTTTTCTACAGTACCGAAAATGAACGTATTATATAAGTTTGTACAGGAAAAAACTACATTTCAATGAAATAGCTTATCTTCGTTGCTTTTTACACGCAGTCGAATAAAACAGAATTTACTGTAAATACCCAAGCGAAAATTATTTTAGGGAATAACTAGTAATAAGTGATAAAAGCCGATAATAAGACATAATAAGGTCCAGATTCGGACTGAGAATGAAATTTAGTAACTGTTACTATAGTGATTTTCTTTTTAATGTTTAATCATAAATATAATATCTTGGTAAGTGAAAAAAAAAAAAAAAAAACTGATGATAACTATGATAAATTATAACTAAATGACATTCACTGTACGTAAAATATGAATTTAACCACTTGTTACGCCCACACATTTAGAAATCTTCGGGGGATTCAGCATTTTCAGCGACTACTATTTTTTTTGGATAAAAATTATTCAAAAGAACTGCAGCCCTTTTTTCTAAAAATGTATATGATAGCATCGGATTAAAATCATACTTGCATATTATTTCGGTCGTAACTTTGCTCGGGAAATACTTCAGGGAACTTCAACAGCGTTCGAAACGAGTTTTGATTCGAAATGTCGATCAGAAGAAAAGAACAAATATCATACCTAGAAGTAAGTATGCATCTTGAGCAAAGTCACGACCAAAACAGTACAAGCATCGATTTTGCTGATTTTAATACTACCACCATTGTTTTCGATGCAGCTTTTTCGAGGGCGGAAAAAACGGTCCCCAAAAACATTAAATTTGTCGAAGATTTTGAAATATCCTCGCGTCGCGATACAAATCAAACCTTTCACGTACGGACTCTTAATTTCACTCGCTCAGCTCCACACCAGGAAACGAAATTGTAATGAATATAACGTTCACCTTTGTGAATCTCGAACCTTATTTCTACACAATTGGCAAAAAATTCGTCGAACTTTTGTGATTCTTACGTGCCTAGAGATTTAATACTAAATAACTTTAGTTATAACGATAAGTATATGTATGTACAGAAAAAAGGGCGCATTTCACAGTGATATTATACGCGCATCATCGGGTAATCGTAACGATTCATTTTCAAATCCCGCAGCAATAAAACTCAACACGTTCGATTGGCCGAATAGACTCCTCAAAACGTTATCCTTACAACGAGAGCAGCCAGACCAACGAGCGTGAAGACGTTCCTTTGGGCTGTCATGGCCCCGTTGCTCGCCACCCTCGAGTGGACGACCTCGGCCCAGGTCAGTGAGCTGAGCGGCACCTCCGCGACGATCTTCGGGCTCCGATCGGCGATGCGACTGACTAGTTTCTCGATCTCGGCCACGCAAGCCGACAACTGCAGTTCGGAGGGTCGCTTGGAGACCGGCTGGTTGAGAACGAATATGTCACCGTCGAGGGTGATCTTGCCGCGGAGGACGCACTCGGCGACTTTCAGTTGGCGGGACAGGCCGTCCAGCATCGCCTCAAGGGTGACGATGCGTTTGTCCGAGTCGTCAGGGAGTTGGTAGTATATCCTGTCGAGCTGTGAACAACAGTGGAGAAACAATGGTCAGCTCAAAGTAAAAACATCGGTACGATCGACTTCAACTTTATTATTTTGTTCTTCCCTCTGTGTCCTATAGGTATACCTCACCGGTGAAGTGGGATTGAAAAAGATAACGCGTTACGCAAGCTAATGGGATTTAAGCATCACCTTCGAACCGTCAATATACATTTTCACATATTACATACAATTCAGAATGGGTCATCTTTAAATCCATTTCGTTCTGCCACATGGGTTCATTGAGGATTTTGCATAAACTCCAAATGTAATCCACATTGACCCCACGTGAAAATCATCTTAACGAATAACTAATCACAACTGATGATAATTGATGATACGAATTAGTAGAGTTCATATTTGAGACTGAGAATAAAATTTAGTAGTTTTAGTTGAGAATAAATTTTAGTAGTTATTAGTGATTGTAACTTGTTATTGTTCTTAAATTTTATCCCAGAGTAACATCTCAAAAAGTTAAAAACTACAGCCAGTTCATTGTCACAAAATTTCCCCGTTGTGCACCAAAGTTTTTAATTCGTTTGTCCCAAATTTTATTCAGTGAAACCCAAAAACACGAGAAAAAACATCAGATTTTTAAAGCGACAATAGTGTATGTTGTCATATACAATTGAACGAATATTTTAGTAGTTTCCATTTTTATACTTCAATTACTTAAGAGTAACGTATTTTTTAAAATTTATCGAAAACAACATATATTGATTAATTTTTTACCTTTTTTTTATTTTGAATTATTAGTCATTATTATAATACGTGCGTAGAGTACAAATTGTTCCAACAACTTTCACGAAAGCAAATGAATTATGCTTTGCGATAAACTTTATTTTTTGGGAAACTCTTTAAATATTGATTGAAATGTCAAATAAAATGTTCGAATCTTTTAATCGATGCATCGATTATTGTTACAGCTGGTGTCACTATTTTTTTTCGTATTATTCATCTTTTAGTTGAAACCCAAGTAGAATAATTTTATCCGATAAGTTGATAAATACTTTTAAAAATTAGAAGAAAATAATCATTGTAATAACAGTTTTTAACGTCTAGATTTGAGACAAGTAATAAGACTTATTATTCACAATTGTCTATTACAAGTTAGTATTAAAACTTTTTAATCCTTGCGATTTGGTTATTATTTTTTTTGTTCACGAGATCAAACGGTACAACCGTACATTTAAATATTATTATTCCTACCTCGGGCGATTTTGAGAGGCTAATGCGCCTTCGGTAGAAAAAATAGCATTCGGCACACAATTGCCATTCATCTGGGGCGACATTACGGTCCCTGAGACCTGCATTGTTAAAGTAATTTAAAAGTATTAGATAGCGATATTTCATTACAAAAGTTCTTTCTAGTTACTACTTGTTTTTCATGTTTCTATAATGACATTCATGACGGAAAAATAGTAGTTCTCATCGGATTAGTGCCATCGTCTCCGGGGCTATTTTGCGGCCCAAGGGACCTGCGAAGCACTTATGTGGCGAATGCTATTTTTCCTACCGAGGGCCCACCAGCCTCTCAAAAACGCCCGAGGTACGAAAATAATAATAANAAATTAAAAGGTTGTTTCAATTGGTCACGCTAATTCAACACGTTATGAATCATATACATATGCATTTACTCCCTTACATACCAGCATATACTTATTTCTGCATATTTTTACCATCATAAAATGTGTAATTGCATAAAATTCAACGATCTTCAAGATTTTTCAACATACAATCTCAAAGGTTGAGAAAAAGGAAAAAAATTAATTAAACATTAAAAGCTTATTTTTCGAAATTCATAAAATCTAAATAAAAAATAGAGAAATCAATACAGTTAATTTTTTTTGGCAGTAATTGGTACTTAGAAATAAAAAAAAAACAATGTTCATCAAAATTGGTTGAGGGATTCCGGAAACGTGATTGATTGTACACACATGCATACACATGCACATACAGTACATTTGCCAAAATGCTCTATTTCGATTCTAAACTTCAGTAAACACATTTATATCCTGTTATTTAAATATTCCGTTTTTTATATAATACCAAGGTTCCTGTGTAAGAAAAAGTATTACATTACGTCAAGTGTTGTTTTTTAATAACTAAAATTGAATCGTATATTTAATTTAGATTTCACAAATAAAAAAACTGTTTATAACTATAGGAAAGATTTACTTAGAGTACATAATAGATCAACGATGAATATTATAGTCTCAACCATAAATTAATAAAGTAAGTTTTTTTTACCGGGTAATAAGTTTACATGAAAAAAAAAGTTAATGATTATATAAATCTGTAAAAATAATTTTAAGATAATTGCTGATGTATACATATACTTATAAACCGAGACTAACATGTGATTATAGTAATTGATCTTAAATTAGTTAAATTTTTTCTGGAAACCTTCACAATTTTTTACATTTTTAACGTAGAGTTCATTCAATAGAACAAAACTAATTTAAAAGTAAACGCAAAAGATTCATTTTTTCTTCCTAATAAAGTAAGCTTTAGAAAAAATACACAAACTATCACATATTGAGATAACACAGTATAAATGTGTTTTGAAAAATTTAGAATAGAAATAGAGTACTTTGGCTGTGGTGTCTGTGTGTGTATGTGAGTAATCAGTTAGATCCAATGATTCTCATGACCAATTTTTACAACTTTAGGTACATTTTTTTATTTCTGCACGTTTATAATTACTACAGAAAAAATATAAATTCCATTCATTTTTTTTCTTTTGGTCTTGACTGTAAAAAAAATTTTATTTCAAAACAATTATTTTTTATTGCTTTAACTTGTCGTTTGAGAATGCCGAAGAATATTATTGGATTTAATACAAAAAGTATTATTAATTAACATTACAATTTACAAAAATATACGTAAGTGTGTGCAGGTACATACATACATACATACATAATATTATGATGTTTGATCACATTTAAGGATTCTTTCGACCAATTTGATAAATTTTTGCCAACTTTTTTCTTTTTTGATGTCTTTTTCTATTTTGCTTCCTTGTAAATGAAAAAAATGCTTTGTAATAGACGAAAAACTACATATTGAGATAGTATAATATACATGTGTTTTATGTTTAAAATCGAAATTGTAAAATAGAGTACTTTGGCTGTAAGTTAGGCCTCTCCCCCCCCTCTCTCTCTCTCTCTCTCTCTCAGTGTGTATTTGTATGTGTTTGTAATCAGTTTAATTTTAGGATTCCCTCAACTTTTAAAAATTATTAATTATTAATAATTTTTACGCAATTTTTTTAGTTCTGAGTACTTACTACCACTGAAGAAAAAAAATTTTTATTATATCGATAAGATTCTTTTAATTTCTATATATTTATTAAAAATGTGAGAACATTGAGCCAATGAATTGGCAACGATTTTGTTTATTCCTTCACAAGAATGCAATACGACTGAAAAATCGATTGATACCCTTATTGTTTATATTTTATCGATCTTTAAAAGTAAACATTAAGAAAAAAAATTTTTTTGGCATTTATTCATCGTTTTAGTATGATTAATGTAAAAAAAATGTGTATATAAAATAATTTTTTACGTAAAATGTGATAAAATTATAATTTTCAAGAATAAATGCTGGTATGTGGGTGTGTAACATGCATATGTAAACAGTTGATCATACCTTACAATTCCTTTAACTGATTTTGATAAGCCTGAACTTTTTTTTTAGTTTCTTTATGTCTCGGATAACTTTAAAATGAAGTGTTAATTTTTACGATTGGATTTATTTTAACTCGATTATCTTGTTGAAAAAAAACCTTTTTTGAAAAAACCGATTTTCTGCACTACTTATTTGTCTTTTTTGGTTATTTAATGTGCAAAATCTAAAAATTATTAAATAATAATGATATGCGAGCATGGGTGGTTGTATAATGTACGCATACGCATATAGTTGATTTTATCTCAGGATTCTCTCTCAAGCGGTCTTTATACGCTTTGGCCTAATATGATTTTTTTCTTTTATTGTTAAATACCTATCATCTTGTAATAAATAACTTAATTTATTTTGTTTGTTTTCATTTTTTTTTTGCATTATATTCAAACAATTGACCTAGATAAAATTAATTTTTCTGCTTTTTCTCGTCATTTTACAATATTTCACATGGAAGACTTTAAAAGATCGTTAAATTTTATATAAAAAACGTTATAATTAATGGTTTGTTTGATATCAAAATTTAACTGTTTGAATATTACTCTGTTACTTGCAAGGAGTTTTACAATAATTTTTTAACGTTAATGGTAGTAAAATAAAAATTTTAATAGAATATAACGTGGGTGCTTAAGGCGTCTACGAATTTAATAATCTATATTCTGACACTTTCTTAAGTTGTTAACAATGATATTAATTTATATTTTAGGATATTTAATTAATATTGAGGAATATAAAAATGGTCCAAATCTTCTAATAAAATATACAACTATTTAACACATCTTACAATAAATAATCTTGTATACTTTATAACATCCTTTATTTATATCATTAGCCAATCAAACAATGTAAAATAAAATCAAGACAAATAAGTTATTATTAGGAATGGAAAAAAAAATTATTTTGGCTTTTGCTCGTCATTTTATAGTATCTTAGACTAAGAATTCTGAAACATTGTTGAATCATATGTAAAAAATTTTATTGAGATTCTAATTTTTTTTAATGAGGGTGTGTGTGAGTGCATATTTATAAATTAAAAGGTTGTTTCAATTGGTCACGCTAATTCAACACGTTATGAATCATATACATATGCATTTACTCCCTTACATACCAGCATATACTTATTTCTGCATATTTTTACCATCATAAAATGTGTAATTGCATAAAATTCAACGATCTTCAAGATTTTTCAACATACAATCTCAAAGGTTGAGAAAAAGGAAAAAAATTAATTAAACATTAAAAGCTTATTTTTCGAAATTCATAAAATCTAAATAAAAAATAGAGAAATCAATACAGTTAATTTTTTTTGGCAGTAATTGGTACTTAGAAATAAAAAAAAAACAATGTTCATCAAAATTGGTTGAGGGATTCCGGAAACGTGATTGATTGTACACACATGCATACACATGCACATACAGTACATTTGCCAAAATGCTCTATTTCGATTCTAAACTTCAGTAAACACATTTATATCCTGTTATTTAAATATTCCGTTTTTTATATAATACCAAGGTTCCTGTGTAAGAAAAAGTATTACATTACGTCAAGTGTTGTTTTTTAATAACTAAAATTGAATCGTATATTTAATTTAGATTTCACAAATAAAAAAACTGTTTATAACTATAGGAAAGATTTACTTAGAGTACATAATAGATCAACGATGAATATTATAGTCTCTAATCTGGACTTTATTAATTCTTATTATTCCTTTTCATTTGTTACCTTTTGTTATAAATTATTAAATGGATGAGATTATTTTTGCTTAGGGTTAGTGCAACGATAGCTTACTCCTCTCAAACGCCCAAATGACCCACGTCAGTTATAAATATAAATGTGTCAAACGTGTTAAAATAGTATACTTTAATTTTGAAAATTGTAAAAGAAATTTTATCGAATACTTTAATAGGTTTGTTTCTAGCATCAGGTGGTGCTAGTGTGTGAATGGATTTCATTCAATATATAGGTATGCTCCTATGGAAATCTTACCTGGGCACACTAGCGCTACCTGATGCTAGAAACAAGCCCATTATAATAGTTACTATTTAGAATAGTATTTAAATATTAAATTATATACTCATTGAATATAATAGATATTCCCGAGTGGGTTACCAATCGATCCATGCAGAATCAACTTGGATTTTAGTGGAATTTTATACGGAACCACGAGCCCAAAACGGTTGACTGAATTTTTTATAAAATCCATGTTTAATCAAAAAACAATCTGTTCATAATGAATATTGCCAACATATTAATTCTACATAAAAACTAAAGGAAAATTATTTGAATGCTGACAAGAGGCTCGAATTTGCATGTATGTGCATTACAATTAGTTAAACAACAAAAATACGTTTGCGAGTGGATCGGTAGCTGATGTACTCAACCTTACCGACAGAGTGAGAGAAAATTTTAATTATAACCTAACCTGCTTCTTTGAGTAAAACAGCCTCGCGGCACCCCCGCAGACGGGACAGCAAGCACCTGGGGGCGTGACACCGATGCAGTTCTGCCTTGCCAGAGGAGGACACGCCACAGCGTCGGCGCACCTGGGTTTGGGCTGTTCACCGATCAAGCCCACGGCGATGCATTCGCCCTGGTAATCTACAACTGTGCGGTCGGCCCAGGCTGCGCACTCGCTGTCGTATTCTTCGCCGTTGATGCCGCAAACTTTGCCCCTCGTGCTGCATCGCTGCTGGCAGTGGCCCCAGTAGGCTAGCTGGGCGCCCCTTTGCGCGAGAGAGCATAGTGACGGGTGCTCGTGGCTTTTTTTGTCACAGACTGGGCCTGCGGATGGTTTAACGTTTACTCCGTATTTCTTACAAGTAGCTGCGTAAGAATATTTTTAACAGGAATCTCAACGTCTGTGATTTATAAAAGCATCACAAGTATTTTTCAATCAACAGTCTTTCACACTTTGTAGATCAGAGAAAAAAGATTTTGGCCTTTCAACGGCTGTTTAAGTTGGTTGATCATCAAACAAATTTTACATTACATTTAAAGTCACTAAGGGGCTGCACGCTCCGCGCGCCAACCCTCAAAATTTAATCAAACATTTATTTTCTGTATTTTTAAAGAAAAGTACAATAATTATATCTTTGTTGTAACACGTACTATTGTAATATTTATCAGCTTACAAATTTAAATGACTTTTCACTGATTTTACAAAATCTCATTTTCAAATCTACCCGTGCTTGATCAGTCTCAGCCAATCACACGATGAATAAATAGGCTTCATAACGTGACCCATCGTTTTTTTAAGATAGGATAGGAACGACTTATGTTTGAATAAAATATTTAATTATTACTCTATTGGGATGCACGCCAAGTACGAATCTTATTTTTGGTCCCTCAGGCCCAATGTTTGCCCTGGTGGTATGCGGCACTATAGATGATGTAAAAACTACCATCACATTCCTTTGCCTTTATATGTACCATCCGTATTTTTTACTGTTACTCTTGTTTGATTCATATATTTTTTAAATTGATTACTATGTTATTTTCGAGCCACCATTAATCTTTATCCCAGTTACAAACCAAAAAGGTTTTACTACGCCCCCTACTACTCAAATTAGTAGAACTTTGTCAGATTTTAGAAATACTTTAGAAGAATTTTAAGTTTATTCGATGATTTCAAACTTTACATGAATTTCGTAATCATTTCATGATTTTCTATAATAATTTATGATTAAAAGTGTAACCAACATATTGCAACAATTACTACTAANTGAGTTATTTTTTTCAAAAAGTTACATTTTAGATTATGCACGCTAAAATATTGTTTCATGAATATAAAATGTACTTTTTCTCTCTCAATTTGTTATGGATTGCACTGAATTTGAGCTTGATTGATATTTCAAAGTACCCGCTAGATTACTAGTTATTAATGTCTTATGCTTTCAGAATCTACATTTTTCTTAATTAAATGAAATTTTAAAAATTATTTGTCATTACAGGTTTTACCGATTAAGACTGTGTTTTGTACTGAGACACGAAATTTTTGAAAATTATATGAGGGAATCCACAAAAAATATCTCGTTTTTGTTCCAAAAAAAAATTTTTCTAAGCACATCCATTAAACGGGCTTCATTTTACTCGTAATGTCATGTACTACGAGGAAAAAGTTTTAAACACGTGTTTCAGTGAAGATGACACCCTTTTTTCACGATAAACGTCTTAGAATTTTATCTATACATATCATACATACATAGAGTACAATATTACATGCCGTTACAAGTAAAATGAGGCTAGTTTCAAGGTTGTGCCTCAAAAAACTTTTTCATTAAAATAAGGGATTAAATAGTAGTTTTCGTCCGATAAGTGCCATCTCCTCCGGGGCTATTTTGTAATGTAGCCGCTGAGCGATGGCGCTTACGTGGCGAATCCTATTCTTCCTACCCACACCCAACCCTCAAAAACGCCCGAGGTCGAAAAATAGACTTTTCCTACCTCGAACGTTTTTGAGAGGCTGGTAAATAGCCCCGGAGACGACGGCACTTATCCGACGAAAAGTACTATTCTTTCCAACTCTGCACTTGAAAAAAGTTGCGACGTGTTGCATTTATTTGTTACAACTAATAAGTAAATAAAAAAATTACCTCTCTTGTCGGAGCGAGGATCGCAGGGAAGTCTAATGCACTCGTGCTGCTCACAGGGTTTGTGTATGGGCGATAGGCAGACTTTGGGTCTCGCAAAGCACGTCTCGTTGGGCTTGCAGCTGCCAGGATCTGAAGCCTTGGACGTGCCGCAGACGTGGCCGCGCCTCTTGGAGCAACTGTTGTACTCGAGCTCCCCGACTAGCAGGCCCGCGCACTTGGCCAGACAGGCCGAGGCGTAGGTGACCCCGAGTCTACCGCAGACTGGCACGTAGTGGCTCGGACAGTCGCAGGGCAGGGTGGAGTAGCGCACCTCGGCGCAGCTCTTGCGCGAACAGGTGACCTCGCCCTCGAAGCACCGGCAGGGCTTGCACTCGAGGTAGAAACTCGTGCGATGGGCTACGAAGCTGTTCTGCACCCAACAGGTCGTTGCGGCTGGGCAGTTCAGGTCCCGGCACTTTTCCAGGCTCCCATGGTTGGAGCACTGGCAGATGCGGTAACAGCCCTGATGCTCCGCTCGCGGTATTTGAGCCCAGGCGCCCACCGGGATCAGCTGCTTGGACATCTCCCCCAACGGACAGCCTGCGGTTACATTGCATCTTTTTTATGTCATCGATGGCCATTATTATTAATATCATTATTAGCGTTATTGTGATTATTAATTATTATTATTTTAATTTTTGTTGTACGAAAACATAGAAGTACCTTATATTTTTGTACAAAGCAAAAAGTTACGATCTATACAAGATATTAAAAACCTCATGTAAATTCAAGTATAGGTCTTTTCCCTAAAGTTAGTAATAATTTTTCAGCTATTATTATTGAATACATATATTTAACGGATTTGGTTTGAAAAAAAATTTTAAACATTAAATATAATTTATTACAGTATTGCATAAGTTTTTATGAAGCATACTATGCTTTATGATTCTAAAATAACTAAAAACCACAAAAAGACTTTTATCAATGGAACAAAATGATATGAAAATTGTAGAACTTATTAAAATACAACTTTTTGTCATAGTACATTTCCTTCAAGTGTCGGAATAATATATCAATATAAATCAAATATTAAACTTGTGTTTAACGCGATAGATTAAATCTAATGAAATAAAATACTATGATTAAAGTGACACATTTAGTTCAATACGCTGTATAGTAATGCAGATTTCCCAAAAGCCGTAGAGTACAGTAAATAATCTTAAATTTTCTAATAGATGATTTTTTTGGGGTGCTAATTACGAATCTGTTGTCAGATTTCTGCTTTTAAAAATGGATTATTGAAAGCTTTTCAAGAGGACACATCTCATCAATAAGTCAAAAAATTTAGTAAAAATTACCCAATTTAGGGGTCGCTGATTACAGAATTATTATTTAGATTACAATTTAAAAATAGCAGACGCATTAAATGGACGATACAATAAAACGTTTTTAATTTAAAAAAATTTTAGAATAGAAAATATTTCATAATATTTTATAATATTTTGAACGATTAAGATCAAAATCTCTAATGCAAGATTTTTATTTAACAAAAATTTTTTTCGAATATTACATGTACATGTGACTTGATAAAAATTTTTATTAAAATCTAAATAGAGTTGAGCCACAACTATCTAGTAATCAGCTCAAAACCTTTTTTTGACGTGACAATTGATATGAATGTTAATTGCTTTTGGCATTCAAATATGCGCATATTATCCAAGGAAATCTAGACAGGATTTGCCCAAGTTTTTTTTGTTTTGGCGCAGCATACTTTTCATTAATCCTAATTTATGTCATAAATATATAAAAACGATGGAGTATAACTGTCTTTTATATTCTAAATAGAAATTGTTTTCATACATAAATAACAAATAAAAATAATAACTACATGAATGAATACAGTACCTACATAAAAAATGCAAATTATAGATTCTAGCTGCACTCACTGGATAAGTGAAAGTGTCATTATTTGGCCGCTTTTAACGGCTTCATGCAGTATCAACTCATTATCTCGACTGTGAAATTTGCGGAATTATATGTACACGTGTCTTGGGATGATGCACGCCCAAACTCTTTCATTTCTCTGATATGAACCTAAATTTATGATGTCTTATGCTTTCAGAATCTACATTTTTCTAACGAACCTTCATAGAAATAGTATGTTGTCATGGAACTAATCGTAAGTTTCAGTATATGAAATTTGCTTTTTCAATGAGACTAGCAATAAAATATAGTGATGCGTGCGAAATGATTTACATTAAAATCAAATATTTTAAATTTAGTGAAGTTTTAAAAAATAAGAAAAAATAATTCAATGAAACGTTGAACCGTCATTCCCATTACGCTGAATGAAATTTTTTTTTTCGTTACCATGTTTTACTGCATCACTATTTCTTTTATCAATAGGTATACACAAATTAGTATGTATACTTATAAAAATGTATCTGCTCCAATATTTTGATAAATCTTATAGGTCTCACACATAAGTAACTCATTGAAAATTTACAAACTGCGTTTTAACGCTTTTTCTAATTTCTCTTTCGAAGCGCGCATGTTCATAAATGTTTTCATTATCAGTAAAGGGTTTCTCACGCATTTATAATGAGAAACAGCTTTATAATCGATTAACGAGGCTCAGTAACGTAGGGTTTATTTTGATTATCATATATGATAAAGAAAAGTACCGCTTTTCCATGGGACCCATCGATGTTATAAATATCTACGAAACTTGTGACATTTACTCAGTTTGGCTTTGCTTAGCGTATCAAAACGATCACACCTTGCGAACCAAACTTATTCACGTACTGCATAACGTTCATTTTTGCGAAGACACCGTTTGCCTTTAGGTAGTGAACAAGTAGTTGTTCCAACCTAATCAGTAAATAAACTTCAGAAAAATAGTTCAAGTGAAGTTATCGATTGCAAAAAGTTTGAACGGATATCTGGAAAAAAATGCCCAACCAAAGAGCTCCAGTTGTCAAAACAGTTGCTTCCAACATGGTACTGTGTGCATTCTTTATTTGCTGTCCATGTCGAACTTGGATTAACATGGACTATGTCATGAGCGTACCAGGTCTGATTAAGGTGGCAGAAGTGGTAAGTACTTTTTTTTTTTTTTTTTTTTTTTTTTTTTTTTNGGTTAAACAAAAATTTTCAAAGAGATAGTTGATTTTGTGACCACTGTCGTATTATCATATCACTGTAGTATTTTCTTATCGCAAATCAATTTGGCATACTTTATTGACATAGAATCTCAGAGGTTTTGATCAAGCCGATGGAAATTGCCCAAGCCACCTTTGATTAAGGTGGCAGAAGTGGTAAGTACTTTTTTTTTTTTTTTTTTTTTTTTTTATGACTTGACGAAAAGTGCGCGAAACGAATTTGTAAACAAACAAATTGACATTATGCTCTTGATCATCACATATTGTGTTTAGGTAATATACCATATTTCATCGACCTTACTAGTGCATTTTTAATGCGAAAACAACGATTTCTATTTCAAAACTGTCAAGTAGTAATTAAGAAAGCTAGCAAAAAAGAGACCAGCTTCGAAGGGGGGATTAAACCTGTACCTTCTTCTTTCCGGGAAAGAGCGTTTACCGATTCCGCAACTGAAGCCTTCGCAAACAGCCTTTTGTACAGCTCTATTTTTTACAATGTATTTGTTAATCGAGATGTTACAGCATAAAGCATTTTGAAAAGAAATGTTTGTGGCTAAAAATTATGTACACACAACAAGTAGAGCTATAAGAGAGGCTGCTTGTGAAGACTTTCATTGCTGACTCTGTAAATGCACATTTCCGGAAAGAAGAGGTCCAGGTTTATGCCTCAACCAAAACAGGTTAGAAAAAGGAGATGCCTCTTTTTTTTCTGAATCACTTTATTTATTTTCGATAATTTTTCTACGCAAATAGTTTTTTTCACTGTAAAGTACGTGCTAGTAAGATCCATAACATATAAAATTACTAGTAACTCCCAAAAAGGCGTTGCCCGCTCTCTATAAAACGTTGTTTAAAATATTCATTTTCATTTGTACTAAAATTAAAATTTTTTTTTTTTCAACACTTGAATGCATTTTAAATAATGTTTATAATGTACAATTAAGTATTTTCTATTGCTTAACCCGTTCCCCACTCTTTATATTTAATCTTGTTTATATTAAAATTTGGAACTTCTATAATATATTATTTATTGCAATTGATAAAAATTTTAAAATTCTATGTAGGAGAGTTAAGGAGCATTATAAGATTACAATCTATCAAAAAAAGAAATAATCTTAACGCATGGGAAAAAATCTCAAGTATTATTGAGGGAGCGTGTGTCGATACTAAGTACCTGTATAAAATTGCAATTACTCCTAGATCGTGGTGCAAATGACGTTTTAAGTAGGAAAAGTGTGTTTTCGTAGGCTAGTACAGTAACTAAGGCTGGTACAGTATATATATATATATAGTATTATTGTGGCTATGTCAACTGAGTTAAGATTTTCAATTACACCATACATAACATTTAGTTTTGGGTATGCGTAGAAAAATACTTATTCTTGATGAATAGTTATGTAAATTACCGCCTATAACAAATTTAGGTGATCTAAAAAATTTTATTTTAGAATATTAGGTTTTAATTAAACTAGTATATTGACCATACATTGACCAATTGCTAGGGGGATATTCAGTATATTGACCAGAGTTTCTACGTTACCAAATTCCCTTTTTGAGAAATTATTGATAATAACTATTTATTTAGCTGTATAAACTTAAAATAAAAGGAAGAGTCCTCAAGTTGGTACTTACTTTGGAGAACCCACCAAGCCCAAGTTCAGTGAAATTCATTGCGAATTAAGAGAGAAAATATAAGAGTGTTTTAGTGAGCAAAATCTGAAATGTACATTTTTTTAAAAAGTTAGTGCATTGAATTATCTGAAATTTATACGCAGCCTCTAAAATAAAACTGCAAAGGTGGCTTTTCTTTTAGTTTTGCAATTATCGAGTGTTCAAAAAACTGATTTTCATCTTTAAGAGCACTACATAACCTATAAATCTGGGCGTATTAAGTAAATTTATATTTACATAACTTGTGAGAGGATCGGTTATTCTTTTTATTTCAGAGGCCCTGTCTAAATTCCAGATAACTCAATGAGTTATTTTTTTCAAAAAGTTACATTTTAGATTATGCACGCTAAAATATTGTTTCATGAATATAAAATGTACTTTTTCTCTCTCAATTTGTTATGGATTGCACTGAATTTGAGCTTGATTGATATTTCAAAGTACCCGCTAGATTACTAGTTATTATATCTTTTAGTTTTTAATCAAATGGTTTAAAAACACCCGTCTGTAAAGTAATATTTTTCTGACATACTTTTTTACATACACTATGTGCAAAAACTCTAACTTAATTTTGTTTTATTTTTGAAAAAACTTAAGGTGGCTTGGACGGATGGTACCGTACCTATAGGGTTGAGTTAAGGGCACCTAAAAAATTAACGCTTTTTGACGGTACATTTTTTAATAAATATAGTTATTTCGATAAAACCAAAGTACAAGATCAAGAAATTTTCAGAAAAGTACCGTGAAATTATAGTTGTGAAAATTGGGAGATGTTGCGAGGCAAGCCAGATTAATATTTCATATTTTTCTTCTGATTTTCTTTCAAGATGAGTCGTTGACGCTTTATTTTAAAAAACTTGATAGATTCTTTGTGCAAAAATACATAAGAACTATTCTAAATTGCTGAGGTTAAACAAAAATTTTCAAAGAGATAGTTGATTTTGTGACCACTGTCGTATTATCATATCACTGTAGTATTTTCTTATCGCAAATCAATTTGGCATACTTTATTGACATAGAATCTCAGAGGTTTTGATCAAGCCGATGGAAATTGCCCAAGCCACCTTAAACAAGATAAAAATAATTGAATACTTTTTTTTTAAAAGTAATGTTCAATGAACATGCATCTTAGAAATTCTTATTTTTAAGGTTAAGTTTAAACTTTGAAAAGTCCAAGAAATTTGAGTATCCTTGTATGAATAATTTTAATAACTAATTTTTTCAAACCATTTCATTGAATACTCAAAGACGTAAAGCTGAATAACTAGAAAAAGGTAAACTAACCTCGAAACGTCTGTTTTTGTGTTAGGAATCTAAACATTTGGTATAAGCAATATTTTTTATTGTTAGAAAAGAAATAAGACTCGAGATATAACCAATACGAAGGCAATTTCTCCTATACTATCTGACTAGGTTCTTTAGAGTTTAAAAATTAGTTCAGTTCAAGTTTTTGAAATTTTTTCAAATGAATATCTAAACATATGCATTATGAATGTAAGTTAATTGCAATATGTGATGGTTAAGAGCCCAATATCCACTTATATATTAATTTCACCGTCAAGGCAGTACATCCTAAAACATGTTTTGAAATATCCGTTGCTGTATGCAAAATTTCGTTGCAGATCATGAATTCCGTGATTCAAGGCCTATTAGTGGAATTTGGCCTGCCGTATTACGCTGAGGTGGGATCTGCGTTTGAGGTTGCCTTGAGTGTTTCATCGGCGTGTTTTTTGAACTCATCTGTTCTTCTGCTGTGTTACTTGATCTCAGAGAAATCGTACAAAACGATAAGGTCTACAAAAATTGTAAGTGCTCAATCATAACATTTTAGCTAATAAATATAAAATTAATGCGTTTTCTCGATAAAAAATTTTTTTTTTTTTTTCAGGAAGTTATTTTCAATGGCATTGCATGTTGTTGTTACTTAAGTTCGGCTGTTTATCTTGGGTTTGCAACGACGGTGTATCTCTGGCCACGTTCTCTCATTATTCCAGGGTATTACGTTTACCCTGGAATGAAGGCTGTTTATGTAAGTATATATGTATATGTAGTTAAGTTTTTAAATAAGTCGAAAGTTCATAGGCAAAGAGTACCGAGAAAGCATAGTAGTTGTGCAACATGAGTTTTGATATAGCTTTATAAACACTTTCAGCAGTCTAATTTGATGATTATAATTTTAGTACCTGTGTGGAGCAGCTGGAATTTTGTATGGGCTGGACACTTACATTGCTTGTGTAGAATCGAAAAGATGAGTTTGTAAAGTAGCCGAATTAATATGAATGAGAATAAATCGTTATAGGACTTAATTTGTGTATATACATGTTTGTACAGATAGTAAATAAATTTATGCTATTCATATAATTACTAACGTAAATTGTAAGAATCTTAGCTATGTAATGTTTTAAGAATAAAATTGTACTTAATGTACCTTAAATATATGTATAGTATTTTTTTTTAATTTAGTTATCAAGAAGTCCTCAGTCCTCACCCTATCCTCCCCCGTATTCCATGACTTACCCCATTGATAAACTCATGATTCCTGTCTAAACTTACTGAATTTATGCCTTATGCCCTCCTTTTCCATCCTAACTCTACACTACTCTATCATCCTCAAATAGTCTTGCATCTAACCAGAACGAAAACAGGTAAGAGAGCCTAAAGTATCATCGTGTTGTCCTGTGAAGTAAAATTTGGAAACAAATTTTACTGGGCGAAAATTCTCAAAATTAAGCAATTTTCAAGTTATCCATGTTTTGCTGGAGCATCTGTATCTCAACTGAGTGTGTTTCAACAATCTAATGTATTAGAGAGAACAGTAGAATTATGAAATCACACCCCCACTCATCTAACTCCTATTTTTTATCACTATGAAATACTGTATTACAAAAGATATAAAAAAAGTTATTACTGAATGGCCCAGCGTTGTTCATTATTAATAAATTAGCTGCAAAAATCCAAATTCTTTCATTTTCATCAAATATTCGATAAACCATGAATCATATGTTGGATAACGTTAAACTTAAAAGTAGTAGTTCACTTCAGGGCTTCCAGTATAAATCTGGTACACCTCAGAGTTTTTGCCCTACTTAACACTCTACTTTTATTGTTTAATGGATCGAAGAATGGGATGTGCGCGTGAACTCTCGTGTACTAGCCCCTAAAGTATGCAA